GAATTTGTGGGGCCCACCTCTTTTGGGGTTCCAAATCCGTGGGCCCCACGGACTTGGAAGTTCCACCTCTTGAGGTGGGATTTGGGTGATGAATTAAAATCCATGATGGTAAATTACCTTTCTACCCTTAATTATTTCTTTAATTACAAATTTGTCCTACTTTAATTCAATGGTCATGCAACTGTAAACTTTTATAATTTCGTATTTTATAAATATGAGAATTTATCATTTCATTTTGTAATAGCGTATTTTATTTAAATATGAATGTATATGTGATTTGTTAGATTCACCTAGAAACACTTTATGCCATCTTGTACATTATTATTTGATTAATTGTCGGATTCCACATCGGTGAGTTAGCAAGAAGATGATGAGTTGTAGCAATAAAGCGAGCAATTGGCTGCAATTGATACATAATATTGCGTACATTATTAGATGACTTGTTAATTAGTGCCAAATTGTAATACATTTCTATATTTGTAGTTGAATTATTAATCCACAAAGTGGTAAAGAGTTTAAAATTTCTTTCTATGTTTTGGATTAGTTTTAAATTAAAGATTTGGATTATAATATAGAAATATAATTAAATAAGGGTAACTAGGTAATTTGTATTTAATATCCACAAATCTAATCAAACAAAGTCCATAATCAAATCCATCAAGCAAACAATAGACTTGTTCAAATCCATAATGCCACCAAATCCATCATATATCCATGATTTTCCAAAACCCAGGTTTTACCAAAACCCTCATTTTTCAAATCCATGAAGCAAACGACTCGTTAGTTATACTCTTCTATGAACGCTCTGCATATCAGTACTAGCTTTCTATGTGTTTTATTGGCTCGAGAATTTTATTTTATTATTTACATTAATTAATTTATAAATGTTTAAACTAATTGGATCTTATATTTTTCATGTTTTGTATTAACTTAGTATGTAGTGTGGGAAAAAATCCCAAAGTACACACGTTCTTGAAAAAAATTCCCAAAATACATGAGTTATAAAAAAATTTCCCAAAGTACACATGTTTGAGCATCACCGTTTTAGACAAACGCGATGAAGATTATCACCGCGTTTGACGAACACGGTGAATACTTCATCGTTTTAAACAAAAACGGTGAAGTATTCACCGTTTCAAACTAAAACGGTGAAGTTTTCACCGCGTTAATTAACAACGGTGAACACATCACCGTTTTGGTCAAAAACGGTGAAGCCTTCACCGTTGTTAAGTAACGCGGTGATTATTTCCCACGTTTCCCACCCCTGGTAGGTCAAAATTAGGTCGCAGCTACCTCCTATTCACCGTTTGAGACAAACGCGGTGATGGTCTTAACCGTTGTTGACAAAAACGGTGAATAGTAGGCAGATTTTCCTATAAATAGCACACCACCAGCAGTTGTAAAAACATAACCACTCCCCTTTCTTCAAATTTCAGCAGCCAAAATCGAGCATAATACACAGAACAGAAATTTTTCAGTATGTTGAGACTTTTCGTATTATAGTCTAATTATGTTTTTAGTAGTTATAGTATGATTTAATTTTCGTATTATGTTGTTGTTAGTTAATTGAACTTATGTTCGTTAGTTATAGTATGATTTAATTTTCGTATTATGTTGTTGTTAGTTAGTTGAACTTATGTTCGTTAGTTATAGTATGATTTAATTTTCGTATTATGTTGTTGTTAGTTAGTTGAATTTATTTTCGTTAGTTATGGTATGATTTAATATTAGTTGTACAATATGATTTTGGTTAATTTTACTGTCTTTAAGCTAATAGATACTTATTGTAAATTGTAGATATGGGTAAATTCAAGAAGTTTCATCTTACTATTCGGTGGAATGGAAGGGTGACAAACTCTGACATAGGCATTGATTATGAGGACGGCGAATCCATTATGCTGAAAATTGAATCCCGATTCAATTTTCAAGAACTCTGTGATCTTTGTGCAGAAAGGGTTTGTACGAGCGGACAGACGAGACTTGGCAAAATTACTTACCGGTATCCAGACATGAGTGCTGGCGGGGTCGTGTTCCAAGAAGTTGTCATAAACGATGATGACGCGGTTATGATGATGTTACAGTTCCTAAGCGATAACCAAGTCCGGCTTGCAGAGGTGTATGTTGAGACCGAGGCGCTCGGTGAATCTCATTCTCACCAGTATTCTTATGATGATGGTTTTGCAGGAGGGTACGAATGGGGTGGTAGTTCGAGCAACTACCAAGGCGGTGGTTATACAGGAGGTTACGGGGAGGGTGGTGGTTCAATCAACTACGGTGGATCGAGTAGTGCAGAATGGGACCAATACTCGCAACCTCCTAAACCAGCCCCATTTGTTGAGGCCGATGGTGTTCAATGGCCTGCTTGGGGGCCAGAGTGGTATGGAATCGAGAATACCATTCGATCAGGGCGTACTTCACATGAGCGAGAGGACGATGTTGGTGATCGTGGTCATGTTGATCCTTCTAGCTCGAGCTATCCATTCGAGTGAAGCGACGAGGATACTGAGGAAGATTTGATATCAGTGAGCGAGGAGGAGGAAGATACTGATGATAACGAGGATGAGGCGGCATTTCGTGAGGCACCCACGCCATATTACACACAGGTTCCAACTCAATTTTTACATAGTCAGAATGATCCCCCCGACTTTGTCCCTATGCCAGTGTACAATCCGACGGCCAATCTGGAGGTGGGTATGGCGTTCACATCGAAAGACGCTGTGCATGATGCATTTACAGAAGAGGCGTTGAGGCGCAATTTCGAGTGGAAGGTAAAATATTCTGACAGTAAACAACTACATGTCATATGCAAGCATGATGCAGAGGGTTGTACGTGGCAACTGCGGGCTGCAAATATGAAGAGAAAGGGTGCTTGGGTGATTCGCAAAGCTGAGACGATCCACACATGCTCCTCTTCTATACTTTCCCAAGTTCACAGGCAACTAAAAGCAAAGAAGGTTGGGAGAACTATTAAGCACCTTATAGAAGCACAACCAGATATCAAGGTGAAAGCTATCATGGCAGAGGTGAAGGATCGACATTCTTACACGATAAGGTACAAAAAAGCATGGCATGGTAAGCAGAAAGCCATGGCTGAGGTGTATGGTGATTGGGAGGATTCGTATGCTTTACTCCCTAGACTTATGGGAGCAATGGAGGAGTCCAATCCTGGGACTGTTTTCGTCCCAGTATACAACAATGTATACACTGAGGATCAAGTTCGAGTACAGGATAAGCTGATGTTCCATCGTCTTTTTTGGGTTTTTAAACCATGCATTGACGGTTTTGGGTTCTGCATACCGGTTATTCAGGTATTTTACCAACTAGTTCCGGTTTTAAATGTTGTATTATTTGCTGTTAAGTATATTTCATACTAATTTCCTAAATTTTTATTCAGGTTGACGGAACTTTCCTTACTGGGAAGTACAGAGGATGTCTTCTAATTGCCACTGGCGTTGATGGAAACAGGCGGATTTTCCCGCTTGCATTTGCATTAGTGGAAGGGGAGAACAGCTTAAGTTGGGCTTGGTTCTTTGACCAACTGCACGAACACGTGACACAGCGGGAAGATATTACGATTATATCTGATCGACATGCGGGGATAAGGAATGCTGTTGGTGGTTTTCCCGACGAGTGGGGGTGGAGATGGAGATGGTGTATTCGACACTGGCTCGCCAATTTCCAACACAAATTTGGGAAGAAGAAAGACATCAAAAATCTACTTTGGAATGCAGGTACTCATGTTTTTCTTATGCGATTTAAGTTTGTGTTTATTAAGCTGATAAGCTGATGTTATTCATCATGTATTGACCAGTTAGTCTTTTGTTCACCTTTTAGCGGTTGCACATCAACCAAAAAAGTACGAGCAGATCATGAAAATGATCCGTCAGACCCACCGAGCTGGAGCAGTATGGGCTGAAGGTCAAGAGTTGCCCATGTGGACGTTCCATATGGACAACGGGGCCAGATGGGGCATTGCAACTACCAACCATGGAGAAAGTATAAATAATGTGTACAAGGGTCTTCGAGCGATGCCTATTTCTGTCATCGTGGAAATGTCTTATTGGAAGGTCAACGAGTGGCGAGTTTCTCGGCTACAGCTAGCTATAGGGAGGGAGTTGCAAGGTCATTCAATAGCACATGACGTATTCGCTCAAATGCAGAAGAACGATGAAAAATCAAGTAAGCATAAGGTTGTTCTTTTTAACCGCAGTGAAGGAATATTCGCTGTCGAAACAGGTATATGGGGTGGAGGGAGACGTGGTCACAATCGTCAAACGGTCAAATTGCACTACGAATTAGGGGAGTGTTCTTGTCAAAAGTATCAGAACGAAAGGATACCCTGTTCACATGCAATGGCGGTTGCTAAGTCAATAACCATGAACAGAAACAGCCTGGTGAGTCCTTACTACACTGAACAAGCGATACGGAACTCATATAACATGCAGCTTTGAGCCCCATGCCAGATGAAGCGTATTGGCCTATATACGCTGGAAAGTTGATTATCCCACCGTTGCACCTAAAACGCACCAAAGGCCGTCCTAGAGTTGAAAGGATACACAATGAGATGGATCAAGTTGAACGGACGAGAAGGGGACCGAAGCGATGCTCTAAGTGCAGACAACCTGGTCACGACAAGAGGCGTTGCCCAGGACAACCATCAACTTAATTTGCATTTACTTGTATTCTGCTACTAAATTGATCGCTTGTTTAATTTTTCATTACCGTTTGCATTTGAAGTCCAAGTATTTTGTTAAATCAAAAATGTTTTCCTTGTCGATACGATCGCGCGGCCGCAAACGGCTCGTTATTTCGACCTCAAACGAATAAGATACGGGCGTTTTAGTTTATAGTACGCAAAAGTTACTTTAACGATACGATCACGCTTTGACGTCACTTATCTCACTCGTTTGGACTCGGAATTGGGATCTGTAAAATTCTATGCGATCGTGGTTGATTTTCCCAACTTTTTTGTGTTGAGGGAAGATACTGATTCTTGATAAAATGATCCAGAAAATTCATTCGACAACTTAAGTGCGTAGGATAGTTTTTAGACAATGCAAACTCAAATAACAACACCTAAAAATCACAAAAACAACATTGATAGTTCACTACAATGATAAAACGATAAATTCACTCATTTGCTTCATTTTGGCCCCCATCTCCACCTCTTCCTCCTCGTCCTCCACGACGTCCTCGACCCCTTCTTCCCCCCTCCGCCGCTGCTTCTTGGCGGGCTCGCTCAACGGCTGGTCGCGGATTTCTCTTGACCCGAGCCCCAACTGGGGTTACATATGGTGGTGGTGGTGGCTGAGTTGGAGCGGTAGCTTGACGAATGATCGGAGTTTGTTGTTGCGGGGTCTGAAACATCGAACTTTGTTGCTGATGTTGGAATTGAGAGAACCCATGAGAGAAAGTGTCCCATTCCTGAGATCCTCCACGACTCGATGACCCTCCACCGGCATCCGCTGTAGGTGCTGTCACGGCCTTACTCTTGGTCGTGCGGCCCTAGCTCTCAATTCCGTTAGAGATGCTAGGCAGCCTTCTCACAAGCTCTCAAACTCACTCAACTCACAAGAACAAGACACAAGAAGATGGGAGAAACTCTATAGTTGTATTGCTCACAAAAATGATGGATGAGTTACAAGTGAGGGAGATGGCTCCTTATATAGGCCTCTCCTCATACAAGGCATCAATGCCCCTCATAATGTCCCTCTACTACATCAATACACCCATTAAGTCCCCCCATTATGCACTCTATAAATGTCACCCATTATGTGACTCATAAGTGCACCATTAAGCTCTCATTTAGGTGGAGAATCCTAGGAGCATCTCTATGCTACTAGTCTTCCATACACGCCACATGTGCAGCCGCCATGTTGTCACCTTGTTGGCGCCATGTCATCTGCCACATGTGACATCCTCCCCCACCTATGCTCGCGACGCCCTCGTCGCGTCCTTGCTACGAAATGCCTCCTTCGACCTCGAGCAGCCTCTTTCGACTCTTGAGCCTCGTTGGTGACATTCTCCTCCACTCAATCCACGACGCCCTCGTCGTGGCTCTTTGGCAGACGCCTCCCTTGCCTTAGCTTCATTGCTTGCAAGGTCTCGTTGCACCTTCCTCCAAACCAAGGATGGCCTTGGCTCGCTCTCGAGCCTTGTGCTCCCATGATGTTGCTCACTCCTCCGCGGTCTTCTCCGTCGCGTCTTTGAGTGTCCCGCCTTCTCGATCATGGTGGCCTTTCCTTGCTTCTCTTGGCAAGTCGAAGATGATACATCCTCGTCTCTCATGGCTCCACGATGTTGTGCACTCCTCCTTCTCGTCCTTCTCCAACGAGTCTTCGAGTGAGTCTCTGCCTCCACCATCGTTGCCACTTCTCGCTGCTCTTGCCTTGCCAAACACCTCTTGTTTGACTCGAGTTGCTCTCTTGTCATGGGAACCGATCTTGCTCCGCCATTGATGCAGAATCTATTGGCGTAGGGAATCGGGAAAGCTTTCTCCCGCACCATGAATTCCATGCCGATGATGACCTGATAATCATCCAACGACACAACCTCAAAGTCTGCCACCCCGGTCCATCCTCCAAGCTTGAGTGGCACCTGGCGCGCTACTCCATGAGTTCTTGTGGCCCTTGAGTTGGTAGCTTTCATCCACCCTCTTTGCTTCTTCTCGTACGTGATGCCTAGCCTCTGCGCTTCACCTACGTCAAGAAGGTTGCAACTTGCCCCAGTATCAACCAAAGCTTTTGTTTTCCTTTGGTTGAGCTTCGCCTCTACGAAGCATTGGCCGTGCTGCTCGGGTTGGAGAGGCTCTTCCGCCCGCTTGATGGCGCTCAATCTCTTCATGCAACCGATCTTTGCGACATGGGGCTCCACTCTTGGAGCCTCCTCTGCTTCCTCTTCCGAGCTCGAGCACTCTGCCAGTACGGCCTTCATTGCCGACAACTTGTGCTTTCTTGGGCAATCTCTCACACGGTGTGGACCATCACAAAGAAAGCAAGTAAGTGGTTTCTCAACCTTATGACTACCTCCTTGGTCCGGTCTACCACGCCTTCGTGGGTCTCTATCATAGTCGCGTCCACCTCCATTGCCTCCGAACTCCGCATGTTCCTGCAGCTCGTGGTACTCGACTAGGGACTCGGCAATTGCCATTGCCTCGGTAAGACTTTGCACGCCTCGCCGTTGTAGCTCCAACTTCGCCCATGGTTGGAGGCCGTCAAGGAAGGTGAACATGGCCTCCTTGTCGGTGTAGTCGGGGATCTCGAGCAACAATTCAGAAAACTCTTTCACATACCCTCGAATCTCTCCTTCGTGAGCAAGCCTCCTTAGTCTCGACCGGGCTTCAAACTCAACATTCTCTGGGTAGAATTGCCTCTTGATCTCCCTCTTGAAGTCATCCCATGACTCCATCACGCACGCCCCTTTATTGATATCGCCTTGGGTCCTTCTCCACCACAGCATGGCAACATCACTCAAGTAAAGAGGTGCAGTTTTTACCTTGGTATTCTCATCTCGAATACCCGAAGCTTCGAAGTATTGCTCCAAGCTCCATAGGAAGTTCTCTAACTCCCTTGCATTCCTCGACCCTTGAAAGCTCTTTGGTCTAGGAACCTCCATGGTTGAGGTAGGTTGTGCAATGGCAGGTCCGTTAGCCATGGCTCTCTTCACGAGAGTGACCTCACTCTTGAGGTCTGCAATCTCCTCCTTCACGCCGACCAGCTCAGCCTGGACATGCTCTTTGACAACTTCAATGGCGTTGTTCAAGGATGTGTTGATGGTGTTGTTGATGAGGGCCACAAGCTCTTCTCGTATGCCATCATGACCAATCTCCAAGCTCGACAAACGAGCATTCATACCTTGACAATCGCTTTCGACTTGGGCGAAGTTAGCTCCCAAATCCTCGATGGCGGTGATATCTTCCGCCAACTTCACCTCCACTCTAGAGACACGCCTCTCTAGAGACGTCATAGGATCACGAGTGCTTGACTTGTCACCCTTTGCCTTGGGATTCTTCACGGTATCCCGTCCACGGTGCTTCTCCGCATTGTCGTGGACTTCTGATCCAGCCATCTTTGGTGAGGCTCTCGCTCTTTCTTATCTTCCTTCTTGGGGAGTGAGGACACCGGTTCTTCTTTCAGAACCAGGCTCTGATACCAACTGTCACGGCCTTACTCTTGGTCGTGCGGCCCTAGCTCTCAATTCCGTTAGAGATGCTAGGCAGCCTTCTCACAAGCTCTCAAACTCACTCAACTCACAAGAACAAGACACAAGAAGATGGGAGAAACTCTATAGTTGTATTGCTCACAAAAATGATGGATGAGTTACAAGTGAGGGAGATGGCTCCTTATATAGGCCTCTCCTCATACAAGGCATCAATGCCCCTCATAATGTCCCTCTACTACATCAATACACCCATTAAGTCCCCCCATTATGCACTCTATAAATGTCACCCATTATGTGACTCATAAGTGCACCATTAAGCTCTCATTTAGGTGGAGAATCCTAGGAGCATCTCTATGCTACTAGTCTTCCATACACGCCACATGTGCAGCCGCCATGTTGTCACCTTGTTGGCGCCATGTCATCTGCCACATGTGACAGTGCCCACTGGTACTCGAACGGTTCGGGGAGCTCGGTTGCTTGAGTGGTACGCACCTCTTCGAACGTAGGCAAAGGCCTGCGTTTGCTCCTTCGTGGGGGCTCAACCGGGGGCACAATGGCTGCATCATCACGGAATGAGGGTCGTGCCGGGGCAGGAACGGGAGGATAGGCCACGACATCCCTCCTTTTCTCTCTGGTGCAACTCATGAGGTTATTCATAAGTCGGGTCAACCAAGTAGTCTTCCACTCATCCATGGTTGGAGCACTTTCGAGAGTGTACTTCGCGTGTTCCAAACCATCAACCTAAGGAAAGCACAAAATATATCAAATTAACTAAACCTTAAAATAAATATATTTTAGAATGAGGGAGATTAGGATGACTTACCACTGAACCCATCACAGCACCTTGCTTTGACACCCATCTCAGGGTGAACTTCCGATACCACTGCATGTACCCATCGTGGTAGCCCATCGGTCTCGTCTCCGGCATCCCTTGCACCACCCATTGGGATCGATTCTCCCAGATGTTGATGTAGAATCCATGCTTTAGCGTCCAGTTTGCATTGTTTCGGAGGTCCATAGCATGTAACTCCCTGAAACCTGCTGGCGGGTCTTGTGGAATTGGTTGCTCCATTCGATATTGCCTCAGGGATCGATCGGGTAGGTGCCATTCCACAATGTGCCAGCAGATCAATGGCACCTTGCACAACCACGTCTCGTGATCCAGAGGGTGTCTAAGATGATGCAGCTCAACCACTTCACGTGGATATGGATCCCATATAACCTATATTCATTCAAAAATTCGGAATTAACGACCATTTACTTTGATAAAATTGATCTTGTTCAAATATGGACAAAACATGATTACCTGATTCCACCATGGTTTATCTAACTCAGAACGATAAAACAGTAACGAATGCTCAGGCTGATGGTCATTCGTATTTGCTCCTATCCACCTTGTAAGTAAAAGTACGGAATCAATTTAAATTCAATTTAAATCTAGTTAAGCATGTAATCAAAATTAAATTGGGCTAAGTACGGAATAAATTCAATTTAAATCTAGCTCAAGCATGTAATCAAAATTTAAATTGGGCCAAGTACGGAATAAATTCAATTTAAATCTAGCTCAAGCATGTAATAAAATTTAAATTGGGCTAAGTACGGAATAAATTCAATTTAAATCTAGCTCAAACATGTAATAAAATTTAAATTGGGCTAAGTACGAAATAAACTTACTTGACACCGTAGGGGAGATTTTGCAGAAGGTTGAGCTCATCATCGTTTCTCCGGTATGGACGTGGGTCGAGAGGTGCGAACATTGGAAGATGCTCCCATACCCACAGTTGAACGATGAACATCGCAGCACCAGCTTGCTTTGCCCCAACCTTCGAGCAAGTACACAGCTCCCGGTATACGCCCGCTAGCACAGCCGATCCCCAACTCTTCTCTCCAATTGCATCCCAGTCACCGGTGAGCAATGGCAACCATATGCCTTGATCCACCGGTTGGACTTGTCGGCGAACAAAAATCCACCCACCAAACCGATGAGGTAGATGCGGGCGTAGCGCTCGACTTGTTCTTCCGGTGTCTCGTCATTGATTTCCACCTCTTGCTGGATGTGAGATACCAGCCACGGGACCGACACTTGCCCCGCATTCAACGGTGGATGCCCCCGTCCTTGATTTGGTGTGGTGGTCGGCATGTCGAAGCCCAAACGATCACGGATGAGCGGCCCCCAACCTCCTCCGGGTTTGGTCGTGTTCCCAATGATGGCATCTCCAGATATAGGAAGCCCGGTGAGGATCGCCACGTCTTTGAGGGTGATCGTCATTTCCCCCTCCGGAAGATGGAATGTATGGGTTTCGGGACGCCATCGTTCCGCCATTGCCATGAGCAGATCGTTGTCGATCTCGATCCGCAAGAAATGGCGCAACATTCCCAAACCGGTCCTCGCTATATAGGGCTCCAACCTTGGATGCCAAGCTGGCAAGTTATTGGTCCCTTTATGAACCACGGGAACAAGAGATTCCTAAAAAAAATAGGAAAAACATCAATTTATTAGATTAAATAAAGCCAAATAAAACATTAGAAAATAATAAAATAAAGCAAGTCAGTTCATCAAATTACCGGATTGTTATCCCAAATGGCACGGGAGCGATGCATTTCTTGATCGGTTAAGAGACTCGCATCCCTTGGGCCATAATGGATATACAATCGAGGATCGTATATCTCGGCACCCATCTATAAAAAAGTAATGAAATCAGAGATTGTTTTGATAAAAAAAATCAAATTGTTTCGATTAAAAAAAATCACAAACCAAAAACCTACACGAAGAGCCTCTTCGTCCATTATTGGCGGAAGCCGGACAGAGGTTCGACGGGTTTAGCTTTGTAAGGGACGGGAACTTAACGGGACGGGGGCTTTAGGGTCAAACTCTAGTAATTCTTTCTGATGTGGAAGATCGGACTTAGCCGCAACCACAGAGCATACTTAGAACGAGACTAGAGCGGATAAATTGAGGGAGAAAGAAGTGAAATGTTTGTGGGGTGAGTTGAAAGTGAAAGGGGAAGGGGGTATTTATAGTTTGGGGGAAGGGGGGAGGAGCTGCTGCGCAGTTATTAGGGCTCCATTCACCGCGTTTGATGAACGCGGTGAACTCCCCGCTTTAGCCGCAAACGGTGAATGTAAAGGTGACGTGGCGTGCTGTGAGGCGTCGGATCGTGGGAAGAAAACCACGATCCGCGTCTCACCGCATCTAACGGCCACGGTGAAAGCACATTGGCGCGGATCGCTGACGCAAACAAACACGGGTTATTCACCGTGTTTGTCTAACGCGGTGAATACCCCGTGCTGTCCACGTCAGCGCCTTCACCGCGTCCAACAAAAACGGTGAAGCCTTCACCGTTTTAAATTAAAACGGTGAAGGCTTCACCGTTTTTGTTTAAAACGGTGAGGTATTCACCGTTTTTAACAAACGCGGTGAACCCTTCACCGTTTTAGTTTGGAACGGTGAATACATCACCGTTTTAGTTTAAAACGGTGAAGTACTCACCGTGTTCATCAAACGCGGTGATGACCTTCACCGTTTTTGGAATTTTTTTTATAACTTATGTATTTTGAGAATTTTTTTTAAGAACGTGTGTACTTTGGGATTTTTTCCTGTAGTGTGTTTATATATTGAAAATTCTCAACCGTTAACACATTAACTTATGATGCTTCGTTTCCGTAATCATAAACCATGCCGCAAAGGTTTATCATGTCATATATAAAATTTTATGTAAAGATTTTTAAACCAAAATACTCAAATTTATTATCTTATACAATACATATCAATTCATGATATTCTAGTTTGAACGAATTCTCAACCAATGATGTTGTTCAGATTATGACATCTTAGTTGCAATTTCTTAGTAAAGATACTTTATTATTGGATAAATTTGTTCATCCCAACGGAAACTTGACACTTTGGATGTTCATGAACTCTCACTATATGATCTTATTTGTCTATCAAGACACTCAAATTTAATATCTTATACTATCTCTCAATTGTTCATTCATGAAGTTTGGACCAAAGTAGTAAAAATCGCGCTTTAAAATTTAAAATCTTACGGTTTTACGTTTATTTGTCACAAAAACGCTTTTGTTTTCATATAAAAATATTAGTGTATAATATCGGACCAAATCGCGCTTCAAAGCTTAAAAGCATACGCTTTTATGCATCTAATTCACAAAACGCTTTACGCTTTTAGTTCACTTTTATGAAATTAATTATATAAAGTATATTTTAAAGGTAAATCACCAACAATATAAGATCTATATTTGAGATTTAAAGATACATACCAGCTACTTGGATGCATTCTCAGCTTCAATAGAGTAATCTAATTCACCAGCTAGGCTCTTCCCAAATTCATCAACATAGAGAGGAAGGTGGCTTATTGTTAAAATATATGTTATGAACTTATTGTTAAGATGCTATGAGTTGTTGTACTTTAGACATGAATTGTGGGTATTTATTAACTTATCTAAATTCTCTGCACTCATATTTACATAGTATTACTTAAATTATTTTTTAGTTATCATTTATGAAGGCAGGATCTCCTTTCGGGGATGAGTCTCCCATGCCGTAAACGATGAGTGTTCATTCTTGGTCTACGCGGATCAGGGGCCCAGCTAACACATGAAACACTTCGCCTGGGGAGTACGGTCGCAAGACCGAAACTCAAAGGAATTGACGAGGGCCTACAATTTATTCACTTATGTTATCCTCTTCCCCTGCAATTGGCTATTTGGATTCTAAAGTGCATTAAAAGTTGCGTACCGTGAGGGGAAACAATGGGTCACGTCCTTTGAGAGTGACGCCTGAGAGCTAAGTTCTGGCCTACTTTGAGGTTTTGGCCTACTATAAGGAGGTTCTGGCTTAGTTTGAGGAGGTTCTGGGCTATTTTGAGGTTCCTGTATGCTTTGAGGAGGGTCTGGCCTGCTGTGAGGAGGTTTTGACCTACTTTGAG